AGGGGGGGGGGGGGGGGTTCATAGGCCAAAAACTTTGCTTGAAAGTGAATACATCACTTGCAGTCAGAATGCTTGGTCATTTAACTGAACTCAGTGCAGGAACGACGAGAGAAGATACAGTTACCTGCTCAACAGACTCGAACCCCCCGATTTATGGGTCGACACAGTGAGAAATATATCACAGAGACTAATGTCTCTCTCCTTTGCACGTGCACTCTGCTGTGTCTCCTGTACCCCACACTCAGCCCGGTTTGGACAAGACACATTGGTTCCAAGCAGATCTAAAGTGGGGTGACAGGGGCGTAAAACACAGTTAATTACAGTTATCTTCACTCTGCATCTTTGGCCGGCGTAGTATAATAATTATGGTATAGCGGTAGGACGTTTCGCCATTGCACGCAGAAAACGCGAGTTGGACTCCTGTGACGGGGGAATTTTCGTGAAATGTCTCCGTCTTTCTGCTGAGACATTGTATCCCTCTCAGCCAGGGTTGGCCTTAACAGGCAGGGTCCAAGAAGTCTGCATCCAAAATTATCTTTATTATGTTGATGGGGGCGTAAAACTTTTTACAATTTCTTCAACTTACTTCTTTCTCCTTGACCTATGGTCTGGGGATGACGTCCTTCTTCATTTCTCTGCAAGATGGAGAGTAAACATGAATTTCACAAACAAGTTGGGTGTAACCTCTCTTCTTTGTAGGTGTTTTTACGACCGCCCCCCCCCCCCCCCCCCGAAAGAAAAAAAAATTGGCTTTATTTAGATTATGTAGGAGGCGGGCTTGCGACCTTACCTGTCTGGGGCCAACCCGGGCTGAGAGGAATACGGTACAACATCCCAGCAAAAAGACAAAGATACTCGATAAAGATTCTCCCCACTCCGTAGTCGAACTAGGGTCTACTGCTTATGACATCGAAGCGCTAGACTGCTACACCACAAACGCCCGTGTATTGAGTGCATTAAGACGTGCTAGTTACGATGAAAGAAAAAAAAGGTACGTGGGAAGATTGGTCTCAGGTGAGAAACAGAGGACATATATATACAAGGCTTTGAACTTTGAAGGGAAGGGCGGCCGAAGGCTTGTCTGGGCTGTCAGAACGATAACGGCCCAGCCGACAGATTTGCAGCTAATAAGGAAAGGGTACTCATGTGATACTCTCTCTCTCTCTCTCTCTCTCTCTCTCTCTCTCTCTCTCTCTCTCTCTC